CATGTAAGATAGATTCTGGCGAGAGAAATTGTCTAGCATGACACAATGAACCAACTTTTCTAGCATTCAATATCTTTCCATTTCATGATGTCAGCGGAAAAATGTTAGCCCGAGAAGAATATAAAAAAGAAACATCTGTTTCAATATTTAAAAAGCGAACTATACTTCCCCCTACCTAATTGTTTATATATGCAGTACATATCCTCAACATGATGAATACAAGCTATTTCTACAGGCCCAATTGATAACAGAGAGTATGTCACCCTACCGAAAAAATATATTAGAGTAAACGAAACCAACCATGAAATTAAATATTTTCTTTTTATTCATTTTCCCCTTAAGATCGATTGCAACAGATATTGATGCAGGGACGAATTTTTAGCCTAGGGGCAGGCAAAAATTGCCTTGGTGGAACCCTTAAAAATGAATGAGAGTACTGCAAAAATTTTTTTTAAATTTGCAAATTCATGTATTTTATTTAAAAGGTAATATTAACGTAAAATCTTTAAAAAATTGATAAAAATAAAAAAGCTTTAAAATCAAATATTTTTATTGACAAACTAGCATTAGAGCCCAGTGTTGCCTGGGGATATAACAGTAAGAGATAGATCAAGTATCCACCATCATAAAGACTGAAAAATAAAATTGACAAAGATTATTGTTTAAGGTTGACGGACACGCATGTCTTAATTAGTTTTTTTTTTTTTTTTTTACGAATTGGTCAAACCCAAACAAAAACATTATTTTCAATCATTATGAATCTCTACCGATTGAATAGAATTTTATTATAAACAATTGTCTTGTAAATGGAATTTTTAAAGCATTCTGAATGTAAAAATAAAGAAAAAAAGTGTGCAAGACAATAAGAAACACTACATGCCAAAAAAAATGAAGTTTGTTGAAATCGGTTGAAAAATGTAGTAGCCTTTCTGTAATCTTTTTTAGTTTTACAATTTATGATTTTACTTATTGAATACAGTAAAAAAAATTGCATATTTTGCTTGTGGTGATTCATAATTAGAATTTGATTTGAATATATTTTCCACTGTTGTTTCTAATACAAAAATATTAACTTTATTTGGGTTTATTAATTATGATCTAACAAATCTTATTCATTTAGTAGCCTTTCTGTAATAATAATCTTTTACAATTTATGATTTTACTTATTGAATACAGTAAAAAATTGGACACCATGTGTATTTAAAGTAGTTTCCCGTTCCGGTTATTATTTTTAGTTAGGACTTGTGTATGTTTAGATTTTATTATCTTTCCCTAAAGATAAAGAATTTATTCCGATGTTTGTATCTGTACAATCAGTAGAGATCGTTAGATTATTGTTTAAGGTTGACAGACATGCATGTCTTAATTAGTTTTTATTTTTTACGAATTGGTCAAACCCAAACTCAAACAAAAACATTGTTTTCAATCGTTATAAGTCTCCCGATTGAATAGAATTTTATTATAAATAATTGTCTTGTAAATGGAATTTTTAAAGCATTCTGAATGTTAAAAATAAAGAAAAAAGTGTGCAAGAGAATAAGAAATACTACCTGCCAAAAAAAAAAAAAAAAAAGTGAAGTTTTGTTTTATCGGCTGAAAAATATAGGAAATCATTCCCATATTTAAAGGAACCCACACACACAAACAACCCGATGTGAGTTGTCCCCCTTCCATTTTCACGATGTCTCTTAATCGTATTTTTAAATTGATTTTGTGCAAAAACAATTATACACACTGGTAGGTACTTGTATCGGTAACTTAGTGAACATTTAAAATTCATCAAATCCATTAAAAATCCGGTATTAATTATTGTTTAAAAAAACAAAAACGAAAAAAATAAAAAAACACTAGACTCGTAATAAAAATCCAGTTTCTACCTACAACCCATTACCGCCTAACACCCTAAAAATAAGAATAAGATGGTGGGTATTCTATGTTTTGGTCTTCTATGTGCTATATGTCCCTTCACGACGTGAACAATCATGTCTCTCCACAACTTACTGTCCTTTGTAGCTCTCTGAGTAAATTTTGTCTTTTTGCTATCCATTTACACGAGCTCAGGCCATCTCGACGTGGTGTAATGGTTAGCAAGTTTGTTTCGTTAGAACAATTACAACTGAGTTGTAAATTTGATCTTCACTGGGTGTCCCATACTTTCGGCCTTGTGCCATTAGAAAGCCACCATTTACACAAGCTTGTTAAATAGGTTTTGCATTGTCTGTCTATATTTCTGAGATGAGGTATTATGTACATTATTTACATTATTCGGACTATTTTCCTCATCTTTGTGCATATGTTATCCCAACGTTTTGGCCGTTGTTCCAGCCTTCTTCAATTGGATTTGGAATATCCAAACTGAACCCATTTGTTTTTGTTCACTGGGCTAGACTGTTCTGCTTCTATGTGCCCATGTTTTATGGATGGATTATCACTTATCTCCTGTTAATTTCCCTCTCCAAGTTCTCCACTGTGCCATGTGTCCTTGAACTCACCTCAAGGACACCTGTTACTGGATCTAAAACGTTAGTTAAATCACAATTGACAGGACCAAAATTAGTGATTCAACATCGGTTAAGGCAGTGGAGAACTTTCAGAGGGAAATTAACAGGAGATAACTGATAACTGACATCCATCAAACATGCATGTGGAACTAGAACAGTCTACCCTGGTGAGCGAAATAAAAGGTTCACTTCAACATTCCAACCACCTGAAGAAGTCCGGAGCGCACAACGGCCGAAACGTTGTGATAAATATGGCAACAAAGATGAGGACAATAGTCTGAATAATGTAAATAATGTAGGTTTTGCATTGTTTTTCTCTGTCCGTATTGCCATCAATATGTCCTGTGAGTGTCACAGATTCTAAGCTCTCTTTCCTCATTATGTGTCCTAAAAATTTCAACTATCTCTTTCTGATGTTAAGTCTAAGTGTTCTTTTTGTTTCCATTTTCTCTAAAACTTTATTGTTTCTCACATGTTCAGTCCATGGTATTCTCAGTATCCTTCTGTAGAACCACATTTCTGTTGCTTCAAGTCTCTTTATCTGTGAGAAGAAAAGTTTTGGATATGAAACTCCTGCTGATTAGGCCGACATAGCACAAAGATAATATCCAATTATGCTTAAAATTGGAGCATATGTCATACAACTCTAACTTAATAGAAGGTTACTGCTAAGTTATGAAAGAAGAAACTCTTAGTATAGAAATTAAAATCTTATAAATATATAGCAGGAGTACTAGACCAGATATGGTAGCAATATTCAAAGCAAGGATGAATGGTAGACTTATAAATATATAAGATAGATTCTGATGAAAAAAATTGTCTTGCATGACATAGTGAACCAACTTTCTGAGCTGCAGATTTAGCAATAAATTCAATATACTCTTTCCACTTGATGATGTCAGCTGAAAACATTAGTCTGAGAAGACACAATGAGTCATTCTCCTGGAGGTTGGCATCAGCCATGCTGATGGAAGGTAAAATGGGTTCTTTCAGATGATTAAATGTTTTGTTTTTGAGGCACTAAAATTAACAAGCCATGCCTTGTCCCATTTAACAACAGATTGTAATATCGACATCATTTATTTCACTTGTGCATTTGATTAAATTATTTTATAGTGAAACGCTTTATTCTATCTCTCTCTCTTTTTATCTTTCCAGGTGCCTGAAATGAACCAGGTCGTTGAAGCCAAAGAAAACAAAGAACTGGGAATAATTCAACTATTTATACTGCAGAATATTGGAATGATTGTTGGTTTTGGAATCATTTTGATTATCTCCCTTTATGCTGAAAACATCAAATTCGGCTCCTAACGGCAAATATCTTGTTAGTGCCTGTCTGTATGCGAGAAAGAGGGATTTTGTTTGAGTATAAATAGCATATATTTTTATTTACCATTTATTGGGGGCAGGGGGTGCACTGGTTGGTCCAAATCATGTAAGGTGTATGAGAAGCAGCAAGAATTTTAAAATTAATAGTTGGTATTAAACAATGATTTTTTTTTTTTAACTACACGTCAGAATAGTATTTGAATAGAATGTAGAAATTGAATTTTTTTTTCATCAGTTGAACTCACATATTCACCATTTTGTACTGAATATTAACAAAAAAAAAAAAAAAAGACAAATAAGAAAAGAAAAACAAATCTGTTTTTACTGCTGAATAAGTATTACAAAGAAACAGCAAGTTCACCTCTTTCATTTATTTTTTTTTTCTTTTAATATATGTGCCCCAAAATTTAACTCAACTGAGTTTCAAATCCTGTTAATGGCGTGACATTTGCAATATTTATTTTCATTCTTTGTGGGAAGATGCAAAGCAGGAGAGGGGGTAAAAACTATTAGTTGTTATTACTGGGTTGTGTTTGGAGCAGACAGTGGTTAACAGCCACTGATTCTACCACCATTTTCTTTCTTTCTCTCTCTCCTCTTTCATTTCTTTTTTTCTCTCTCTCACCTCTCTTTCACTTCTTTCTCTTTCACCTTCTCCTCTTCTCCCTCTTGCCTTCTCCTCCTCCACCTTTTCTCTCTCTCTCGTCTTCTCTCTCACTGCTCTATTATATCCAAGCCCCACCCTTACTGTGAGTTGGTTGTATATGGTGCTGTAAGCACCATGAGTTGTGTCCTCTTCTACAATGGGCTGTTGAGAGAAAACCTACTTAGAGTAGGTGGCGCTGACAATTTGCATATGAACAATACTAGGTAGGTATTAGCCAATAGTCAGCATGGGCCTGGGACCTCAATTCTCTGTTAAACTTACCTTCTTACTCTCCTACATAGCCAAAATTTAATTTATTATAATTTGCAAGGGGGTGTCTTGATATTCCCAACACAAATTTAGACAAATACTAATCATTACTAAGTAGGCTCAATCATTTTGACTCTCTTCCAATTTTTGTATTCTAAAGAAATAGCTGATGGAAATAATTGAAGCTGTTCTTAGTTATCATTAAAATTAAGGTCTGTTATTTAATGGCACTGCTCAGAAAATAAGTATTTTCAGTTTGTCTAAGTTAAACTATATTTTAAAAAAATATGAAAGAATTACTTTTACATCATCTCATATTTTATCTCTTCTCTTTCAATAATGGTCTTGTCACAGTCTTAAAATTCTTAATATTTCATACTTGTCTGATAGATTTTTCAATGCCCCATTTTACAATTCTTCATATTATTGTGGTGATGAGTCATTTGCACTAAATATTAACCCTTTCGGCAATGTTTAACCTTTGTGCCCAAAAGAAAAATGGTGTGTCAAAAGGACAATTATTCTCTGGACACTATACACTTTTGACTTCCTCAGCAATGTTTATAAAAAAAATGTGAACCAAATACAATACAATATTTATTATTTACCTTTTACAAAAAATGTGAAAAAAATTTTTTATTCAAAAATTTATTAAAAAATGTTACAAAATTATCAAAATCTATAAAACAAACACAATGCAATATTTATTATTTACCATTTTATAAATAACTATGAAAACAAGTTTTTTTATTCAATCTAATAAATAAATGGTGTTTAACATCTTTTCTGTCAGTTCTCAAGAATAAAGAAAATGTATAAATCCACTTTCATATGTTTGGGTTTTATGAATATTTTAATCATTGCTTTTTAAAAGCAATAAACCCTGCTGAGGGAGTCAAAAGTGTATACAGTATTAGCAGTGTCATGGGAATAACTCTCTTTTTTGTTTTTGTTTTTTTGGACAGCATGATGGTTTGCTAAAATTTCTTTTAAAGTTGCCTACCAGTTTGATTCATCAGTCAAATACTTTGATATGTCCATATTGAGAAAATTGTCTATAATCATTTTAGCATTATTTATAAACACAACAATGAATGAATAATCCTGATGTATATGTGTGTGTGTATATGTTTGTAGGATGTCTAATAGTATCTGAAACCAAAGTGGAGAAACTTTTTAACAACCCATTTTGCCGATGTGACGTGTTGGGTTCAGTTTCAGAAGGAAAGACCTTGCTGAAACATCCAGAAAGCTAAAAATAAAAGAGTATATAAGCATTACCACGGATATGTTAAATAACACTTTAAATGCACTGGTAGTTCACCTTAATACATCTGACCAAAATTTCAACTTAATAAATGTCAGTCTGATCAAGGGAGACAAAAATTCACTGAGAAGAAAAGGCATTGAAAGTGTACTGATCTCACAATTCTCAATAATAAACCTAAAACCAGGACCATACATAGTATCATTGCAAAAGCAATAATAGCACATTGCTATTAGAGAAAAAAAAAACAGATCTAGTAGTGGACTGATTTAAAATCCATCAGACATTAATGGCATACATATATATATATATATATATATATATATTAAGACTTGTTTCATTAAACAATTGAGACAAGTTTTGTTTACTTATTCTTAATAGGATCCTCTCATATTTACGGACAACTTTCTTAGTATCTTTATTAAAGGAAGAAAGAAAATTACCATGTTGATGTATGTCAATTTTATTTCCAAGTACTTCCGACATTAGCGCAATGCCATCTTCAGGGTCTTGTTTTTGCTAAGACAAAATTGCTGTGTTCATCTGAAAATTAAATTTTTTACTTGTGATGTGAAAAACACTAAACTTATGCACTGTACAATTTTTTAAATTTTTATGATGTAAACATACATGTGCAGTAACATCAAAGGAAGTAACTATGTTATTGAGATATTGACCTATTTTGAAAAACTATTTAAAGTTTTTAGTTATAACCTAGATATTTTAAACTATCTACTGTAGACATTTTAAAATATTCATAATTAATTTTAATGTCTACAGTAGATAGTTTAAAGTATTCATAATTAATTTTATTAAGGGTTGGTTTCAATTTTTTAACATAGATAACTCCAAGAATTTTTACTTTATGTTTATTATTTTCATGAAAAAGTATAGATGTATTTTCGACATGTGGACAGGCATACTGTTAGAAATATAGTGCTGTTAGAGGCATCATTCATATGAAAACTCAACCTTCTAGACAATGTAGTTTTAATGTTGGAGATACAGCCTCCCAAGGGACATTTAAATTTATATATAATGTTGTTTTTTTTTGCAACATGTTAATTAGTTGAGAGGAGTCATTAGGAATGATTAAATTGGATATATTGAATATAGTATATAATTAATTTTTTTTTTACTAGGACCTGTGGTGGATATATTAGTATTAGCTTTTTTAGGAAATTTTTGTCCTGTTTATAATTAGAATGTATTTGATTGCGATATAAAAGATTAATATGTTTAGGATTATTTGAGGCAGTATTATATTCTATTTGTTTTATATTAAAATTTCTAATAGAACATCTTATTTGTTTGTCAACAATATAATTAGGGAAGTTATTAATAAAAATTTGTTTTATATTTTTTAGTTCACTGTAGAAAATCTGTTTCTAGATGAGTTATTTTTTGCACGTTTTATTAATTAGGCTTTTCATAATTGGTATTTTATAGTAATTTGGACATTCACTGTTATAATTAAGAGTGCACAAATTTATACTAGTAGGTTTTTGTATTGAGAGATAGTGAATTTATTATTTGTGTTTATCAATATATCTAGAAAAGGAATTTTATGACTATTATTAAGTTTGCATGTAAATTTAAGGGCTGAATTATTTTGGAATTAGTGTGTGTGTGTATATATATATATATATATATATATATATATATATATATTATATATATATCTCAAAGAAACACTTTTTAATCTCATCTCATCATATCTGATAAGGTAATTTAATTTATTGCTCCTCTTATCCTCAAAAATCCCAACACATTTCCCTTACATACAGTTTTGTCTTTCATTCCAGTCTGAAGAAACAAAAAACCAACACACATTATCTCAGCAAAACACGTTTAAAAGCTTTCCACTTTCTCATCATCTCCAAATATATATATATATATATATATATATATATATATAGGTATATAGGGTGCAGGAGATATACCTCCCACATAATACGACATTCATTGCAATGGTGTCTTTATCTAGCTAATGTCTTACCATTATGTAGGAGGTATTTTTGTCAAAAGCATTCTATTTTTGGACTTATATTAATTGAAAATGTTCCTTTTTACACTATTTATTTTTGCAATGGAATAAGATCATTCTAAATTTCAGAATTTCACTATTGCCCATCAAAATGACTGGAAGAAAGCGATCTAAAAGCAAGAATAGAAAAGAAAGCTAACAAAGTATAAGCAAAATAGCTCCAGTTTGTTCAACTTAGAAAACTTAACATTACAACCAATGTATTCTAAAATAAAAAAGGACAAAATGAAAAATACCCAATTTGATACAAATACAATTTGAATATAGCATCAAAATTTATATTATTTTTATTTATTTGTTATGTAACTAAATACATAATTGTCAAATATGTTTCCATAAAACTTGATATTTTCTGTAATAAATTCTTTATTATTGTTATTATTTTACTTAAGTGTAAGGTAGTCCTACATTTACAATTCCTTATGACTAACCGTGAAAAGAAATGTTGATCAAAACTGCCTAAAACCTTTAAGTGTGTATTACCACAAAATTAACAAATATCCTCCGCTGAACGTGTCATACACCTAAAAAATATTTAAAAAAATTAAATTCAAAATTATCATTGTCCCTTTCCCTTCATGTGCACTCACATTGATGTAAACATCAATTTAGTCTGCACTGCTAAAGGATGAATTGTGTCACACAAAAAACTTTTTCCACTTTGTCATATATATATATATATATATATATATATATATATATAATATTAATTGTAATTAAAAATTCGCTTGAGGATAAAATAGAACTAATGTCTTTAATTTAATTACAAAATTAAATTCGAAGCTTTTAGCTTCCATTTTTGAAACATGGTTAGAACTGTATAGCGAAAAAAATTTTTAAATCAATTAATTTATAATATATATATATATATATATATATATATATATATATATATATATAATCATATCTGAGGATGCCCATCTACTGGGGCGGCTAGCTAATCCCCTACTCAGCCACATTTGCATTTGTTCAACACCCACAGAGCCCACCTATGTTTTATACTGCAACTATGCTGAGCAAACCTTAGTTACAGTTTCTGGGAAAGAGCATGTTATCTAGCATGATCAATAGTCTGAACAAGACCAGCATGCTCAAACCCTCCCTAAGGGTTCTGTTTACCAATTTCACTCACTAGGGTTGGGTCAACCTTTTCAAAGGTGCCGCATGTTGGGATTGCCTCCTCTAGACTGATAACATTAAGAAGTTACCTTCTTGACAAATCGATCCTGGTGAGATTTGAACTTGGGCCTCATGGCCAGAAAGCAAATTGTGTTTATATTGTGTAATCAGCTTAGGTATAATGCTCTAGTCACTTGTTAATGTCTGCTCTGCTCTCATGGGACCCTGCATAAAGCATCAATTTCTTACACAATACCAATGGTAGTCATTCTATATCTAATCTATTGCTATATATGATATATCCTAAAATCCTTTTTCCTTAATCTTGGACTTTCATGCTCACAAAAAAAAATGGGCTGTCAAAAGGCTGGTTTTCCCTTAACACTGCTACATTCAAATGCTCTGGAAATAGTGCTGACAGCTCTTATACAATACCAATTCATGAAGATACTGCGTCTTTTAGCTTAGTTGCATTATAGACTAATTGCATATATAATCTTTTGATCATGACCCTTACAATTTTTGCATGCTGCCAATTATGGATCCAGGACAAGTTGGTTAATGACAGCTATTATTTGAATGTATTTCACAAGGTATCAGCTTGAAAGTGACCCTCTGGCAAATTTAATGAATTACCTGAGCCTGTAGGTACATGATAATGCTGGCACCATATCTGTTATAATGTCTTGGCACCCTACTTCTTCAGCTTACAGCTACATTATCTTGAAACACCAGTTCCCATATGATCACCAAAGTTAAGCAACATCCAGCCAGGTCAGTACCTAGATGGAGGAATACTTGAGAACACTAGGTGTTGTAAGTCAAGCCCCAATTTCCATTGGGTTCATTATATTCACTTACATGCAATTACCGTTTGGGAAAAGAATGAATCCGCCTCTCTTTTTCCCTCAGCTATGGGCTAGTGAAACTTGTATCACTAAACCATTATTATCTCCAGAAAAATAAATTTTTAGAATCTAAAAATATTTTCTGGCTTTAAATAAACTGCAAAGAGTTGATAAACCATAGAAAATGAGTCAATCAATGAAATACTCATTACCTGCACAGGCATGTCTTTTAGGATTATTTTACATTCTCTAGAATATAAATGTATAGCAGCTACCGTGCCCACAAAGTGAGGGGTCGGTTTATACGTTGATTGTAATATAGAATTGATCCTCCATTTTATGGCTACATTATAATTTCTTGTTTGTTAAATTCTGATTAGGTATGAATCCACCTCTTTTCCCCTAAGCTATGGATTAATAAGTAAGACTTGTATCATTAAACCATTAATTATCTCAAAAAAAAAAAATTCTTACAATCTAAAAATATTTTCTTGCTTTAAATAACCTGCAAAAGCTGGATAAGCCAGAGGAAAAGAATCAACTTACTTCTTCGTATTAGCATTTGGGACATATTTGGTAATGCTCTTTTGCAAGACGGTTATCATTTGGCTAAGTGGGTGCTTTTTAGTTTGCAGATAGATATATGGCCACATGTTTGTAGCTCCAGGCTAGCAGTACCATCATCACTCATGGACTTTGGTAGTCTATGCTCATTCCTAGTCTTTTATGTTTTCACATCCACCGAGACAGACCTGTGAAATGAGAAGTCCATGCAATCCCTCCCATGCTTTCACAGCAACATACACAAGACAAGAAATGTACACAACCCTTCCTATGCTTTTATGTCCGCAGATAAAGGCAGAACTGTAAAACAAGAAATGCACACAATATCTCCCATGCTTTTGTACCCACAAAGGCATATCTGTAAGATGAGAAATGCACATGATCTCAGCCATGCTTTTGCATCCAAAAAGGTTGACCTACAAGACGAGAAATGCATGCAACCTCTCCCACACATTCACATCCACAAAGGCTGACCTATGAGACAAGATATGCACACAACCACTCATATGTTTTTTGTGTCCACAAAGGTCTCCTCACAAAATGCACACAACCCTCCCTACACTTTCGAAACCACAAAGGTAGACCCTCAAGACTAGAAATAAACACAGCCCCTCCTGCTCTTCAGTGCCCACCAAGATGGACATGTGAAACAAAAAATGCATGCCTTACATACAGGGCTGGATTATCCTTTAGGCTTGTATAAGTTGCAGCCTAGGGCCCTTCAAGCTTTTATAAAGCAATGATTTTAATTTTCTAGATGTTATAACTTCTAAATCGTCTCATAAACTGAAATGATATCAGTATGACAAATTCATAGCAGTAATACTTCATTTTTTTTGTTATTATCATTAATACAGAATAGGCATGATATATCTTTTCTGCCTAGCCTAATTTTTATTTGTTCAGAAAATCTGTTATTTATATCCCAACTTGGTCTGAAGCTTGTGGATTTAGTCAGCCAGAATGCAGTCCACTCTCCAAAATAACAAAGTATGGAATCAAAATCCTTCCATGCTAAAAAAAAAAAAATTCATATTTAATGTTAATATTTTTTACTAAAAGCCAAGAGTTACCGTTGTTAATTAATTCTGCAATACCTTTCTCTTTCTAGTTTTCTGGCATTAACAAAAATAACGTAACATTTTCTCCAGATTAAGATTTATCAATTTAAAAATATGAAAATAAGCTACATTATCTTGAGATTAACACTTTTTTATTTATATATAGGAAAAAAAAAACTACTCTAAAACCAATTGTTAATTATTCCTGCAGCACCTTTCTCTCTTCGTCTATGTTTCCAACTTGGTAACATTTCCTCTCGCTCCTTCCTGGTAATCACATTTATAGCATCTTGATATCATGGGGAGGTAACTCCACTCACCCTGACAACCGTCTTTTTCATTATACAGAGTGCAGCAAAAATACCTCCCACGTAATAGTAACACATTAGTGGTAATGGTGCCTTCATCTAGCTAATGTCTTACCATTATATAGAAGGTATTTCTGCAACAATCTGCACATAAACATAAAAATAGATCATAAATATGGCACAGAAAGCATTTAAGCTTGAAATAAGAATTTAGCTCATGTTGGGCTTTTGCATATTTGTTTTAAGTCTAAGGCATCTGTAGATATTTAAAATCTTAGACATCTTGTTATATCTAATAGGTACATAGTAAATGTTGCAATGTGACTATTAGATATATCAATACAATAATGGCCTCCTACCTCTTTATTAAAAGAAAACTCCCTATTGGGCCCAGAGACTTGTGATTTCAAAAATGAATCTATGGAAATTATTTTAAATTTTTGCCTTTAAAAATTTAAGTATTACTGCTATTATTATTATTATTATTTTCTTTTTTTTTAAACAGAATTGATTTTTTTTTTTTTTTTTTTAATGAACTACTATTTAACAGACATCATGTAAATCAATTAATAGAGCTTAAATTTTCACCATGGCAGTACCACCTACTGGTCAGACATATTTTTTATGCATGCCAATTTTTTTTTTATTGTTTTTACATATCTCATCTTTCAAATATATACACTGTAGGACAAAAATTTGAGGTGATCTTCTGGATTTAATCATTGGGAAGTTCCATGCCATCTTTGTTTAATTAACTCCTAAGATAAGGTGCTGAAACTAACTCATTAGTCAATTTTTTAGACAGGTGTTACCTAAAATTTAAAATCTGCCAGATTAATATTAGCCAGCAAGATAAAACCTTTCAAGAAGAGAATGTCTTTCTGGCTTGAAGTGAGTAAATTGGTTTTGAAAAAAGCACACAACCTGCAATTTTTAAGCATTATTCAAAATCCATAGCATGGTCTCAGACTTTTCGCCTATAGTCTGTGTAATATACATATGCAGACCTGGTATTGTTGAGCACTTTCTATATATTACACTATTTTACTGCAGTTTAGTGTTATGGAGCACTATTTATAACACATCAATACAATTTTAATTCTAGTGTTTTGGGAAGGTTGTTTTTTGGGGGTTTTTTTTTTCTTTCTTCTTCTTTAAATTAAAGTGATATTTAGCTATTCCATTATTTGTTGTATGTGTATTTCCCCACTCTCAGAGATTTTAGTTGGTGATTGCATTATGTGTACTCACCAGTTATCCTTATTGCGACATCTTCAGTCAGTCGAGGGAACATAAATGGTCATATCATCAAAGACCACTATTAGCTGCCTGCTGACTATACGCATAGTGTCTATGAAACTGGCAATAATGGCCAGTTGGATGAACACATTTTTATATATATATATATATATATATATATATATATATATATATATATATTATTAATACAAATATAAAATTTGTCCTTAGCTGATAGCTGATTGATGTTACCTTCAGCATCCCGACTCCAGAGTTTCATAGATGTACTCTTCTGCAATTGCATATGATAAAGACATGAAATATCTGAACAAAGTATGTAAGATGGAATTTTGGAAAACTAACTGGATGTTTAAATTTTTTTTTATTCTGTTGTCAATGTTTCACTCTGTAAAAGCATCATCATGATAACTGAAAAAAATAAATGAACAAAATTGTTACCATGGCAACTCTGCAACTTAGAAATGTGGTTAATTTGAAAAAAATTTTGACAGTTAATAATATTTAAAAATATCCACAAACAAATCAACGAGACTTGTACCTAGGAAATATGGCAAAGTTAGATCATTGTGCCACCAAAAAAAATAAATTGTCAATATATGTTTATATATATTTACATTTTATTTTATTTTTCTATTTTTTCCAAAAATTTTGATTTGTATTAAGTTTTCCTCATCGAAAGTCAGCCCCCATAAAAAAAAAAAAAAATTTGCTATCATGTATGGACGACTGAATGTAACCAATAGTTTGACTCAAACTTCTGTCTTTCATTGAAGTCTAGAGATGTTATGAAAATAAGAAACTACTGTGAGCAAGGAATTTGGAAGTGATAGTTGGAAGACAGAATTGTCAAGAACACCATTCTCTAAACTTTTTATTATGATTGATGGTCATTGTATATTTATACATTTCCATGAATTAATCTCCCAGCTATGGGTTAAATAGTAGGACTTGTATCTGGACAGATCCTTTTTATTCTCAGAAGAATTGTTAATGCAATATTTACTTGCAAAAAAAAACAAAACGAATTTTTCTTAATTTCCAAAATGTGTTATGACTTTAACCAGAAAAGTGTTGTTAAGCTGTTAAAAAAAGAAACAAAAACAAATCAATCAATTCACAATCTGAAGAAAAATGAGCAAGCTTAGACTTTTGTGCCCGCAAAAAACAGTGTCAAAAAGATGGTTTTTCTCTAGACACCACTATTATTAATATAACTACCCTTCACTTCTTGACAACGTTTATTGTTTTAAAAAGTGATGATTAGAATTGTTATAAAACTTAAACATATGATGAAAGTGAATTTATACATTTTTTGTTCTTCAGAATTTACAACAAAACTATTAAACACTATTTTTTAGATTGATTATTTACAAGAATAATTTTATATTTACAACATTCTAAAAACTAATACAATTGTATTAAAACTAATACAATGTAATATTTATCATTTACCAATTTATAAATAAATAAATATGAAAACAATTTTTATTCATAGATTTATAAACATTTTATTAAATTATTAAATATGTGAACCAACGATAAGGAAATCCTTGTTATTTACTACTTTATAAAAATCAAATTGATTGGCAATTAGGCAATGTTTTGTTAATAATTCCAACAAACAATAAATAGTGTAAATAATCTAATAAATAAATAGTGTTTATTATTTTTGTTGTCAATTTTCAAAAACAAAGAAACTGTCTAAATTCACTTTTCATATATTTAGGTTTTATTACACTTCTAATCATCACTTTTTAAAACAATAAACATTGTTGAGGAA